GGCTCAGGCAATTCACTCACCTCAGCCTCCCGAGGTATGGGATTACAGGCTGAGCCACCGAGCCCAGCTGAACTAGAGTTATTTAAATCTCTGCTTTTCTATCCCATCAGAGTAGAAGCTCCTTGAGGTCAGGAAACAGGCTGACTCATCACTGGATCCATGATGCTGCCCAGCACACGGCCAGACAAACAGAAGGCTTCAGAATATGAACCCAGGCAGTGTGGCTCCAGTCATCACTCTTAACCACTATCCTTGGCTTATCAGGCAAATGACAATGACATTAACTATGAAGGAAAACAAGGCAGAATCAGATAGAAGCAGAAGGAAATTAAAGGAGAATATAGGTTTAGGTTTGGATATAGTAATTTCAAGGTGACAGTAGTAACACAGGCAAATGATCTGACGGGGATCTATCTTGCTCATCTCTATAACCATGATACCTAGCAAGGGATGTGCTTAATTAAGTATATGAGCAAACCACTCCTCTGTTCAAAACCTCTGATGGCTTTCACACTACCCAGAGAACTAAGTCCAAACTCACAAGATGAATCCAAGCTTTCTAACTGAATTTTTTATTATTCTCCAAGAGCCTTCTAATTTAACTTTCTCATGTGACTATTCTGTCGTTTTTCTTCCTACACAAAAGCTTTAAGAGCTACTTCTTCATTTTCTATCTTCAAGATCTACCTCAAGTCCCTAATTTATTCAAGAAATCTTTCCTGACCACCTTGTTAAATAATTACCTCACCATATAACACTCCAAAAGACTATATGATGCTCACAAGTTTATTCCCGAAGGCCATGAACGATCCTAAAGTTCTTCCAGAATCAAAGAAACATTATGCTGTGTCCTATAGTTTTAGCATTAAGATTATAGTTTTTATTAAGCAGGCAATTCACAAATACTCTAGCTCATAATGTAGTCAATACATATCAATAAACAGTGACAAAGTCCTAGTCCAAAGGAACTGCACTCTCCCCCTCTTCAAAAGAAAATCCTTTGACAATTCAGAAGCTAGTAAATGAACTACTGAATTACCTACTTATGTGTAAATGGCAGACCATCTTAGGAAGACAACAGAGAGTTAACAGAATTAGTTAACGGTCCTAATTCCTCTCTTCTCAATGCTCTATAAGTTACAAATAAATAAATAAGGCATCAAAGGACCATGTTTCAAATCCTCATCAAAATTCCTATTCCCATCTCCACCAGAAAACAAAAATACTACTAATAAAAAATCTTTACATAAGCTGGGCTCGGTGGCTCAGCCTGTAATCCTGCGCCTTTGGGAGGCTGAGGTGAGTGGATTGCCTGAGCCCGCGGGTTCGAGACCCACCTGGGCAACTTGGTGAGACCTCATCTCTACAATAAACCAATATGAGCCGGGCGTGGTAGCGCGCGCCTGTAGTTCCAGCTACATGGAAGGCTGAGGCGGAAGGACCGCCAGAGCCCAGTAGGGTCGAGGCTGCGATGGCTGGGAGCGGCCACTGCACCCCAGTCTGGGTGACAGAGTGAGACTCCAACTCAAAAAAAAAAAAAAAATCTTTACATAGTCCACAAAGCAAGAAAATAATATTTCAGGTTGGCAAGTCAAAGCTGTTCCAATGCTAACTTCAAACTAGTAGGAAGAAAGGGATCTGTTTGAGTCCACTGGCTATGGAAGAAGGGGGTAAAAGAAAGCTAAATAAATCTGCTTCAACAAGTGCAAATGATTCATACTTCGGGACCAAAATGGCCTAAGTGATATAGGTCTACCGAAAACAGTGCCAAGAAACAGAATCATCTGTTTAAGAGCTGGGAAACGAGGCAGGTAAGCAGAAAGACAATTTCTTATATTCTCAGTACCCTCAGTTTTAGGCAGAGGTACATGAAAGAGATATAATTCATATGCATAAACATGTTTGGTCTATATCAGTGTCCAGAACTAGACTTTTTTTCAATTCATGCTTCCTCCCTTTCTCCAGCAAGTAAAGCTCTTTGACCAGCAGCTGGGAAGTCTCCTTTTAAGTGATCAGCATTCCTCTGACATTCTAAGAGGCTGGACTATTTGTTTCCATAGAAACAGCTTTGTCAGCTAACACAGAATTCAGGCCAAGAAAAGTGAAAAGAACTTACATTATGCAAACTGGAAAAACCTTGTCTACTGTCCTCTTAGTTTCTCTTCTCTGGTTTTTCAAAAAATTCAGGCTAACTTTCTTACTCTGTAAAACAAAAAAATGAGATAATCAATCAAGTGTAAATGTCTGCAGTGTTTTTTGAGGGGGTAAAGTCCTATAATAAATGTTATTTCTAAAATTCCAGAGTTCATGGTTTAAATTACTGATTAGCAGTACCTTCATTTATCATCCAGATAACTGCATTCCAAAGAAACCATTATTATTCTTATAGCTTTAAAACTAACTATATTTAGAATGCACTATGCTAGATAAATTAGTAAGAAATGGAAGCAAAACCCCCTTAATTAAAAAAAAAATCTTCAAAGTAAAAATCCAATAAATAAAGATTTCAAAGAGGAGTAAGGGTAACATAGATTATAACTTAAAGTCACATAAATCATCTGCCCTCCTGGACAGAAAAAGAATAATATGATTCCTGACACACAATTGGCTATCAATAAGGTAGTATCATTAACTTACAAGACATATCTTTCTCAGATGTTAACTTGCGGAGCAACTTTTGCATTTCTGGCAAAAATAATACATAAAACATACCTGCAACTGAAAGATTTAATTGGCAAACTCCTATTCTCACCCAGTGATTCCAGGGTGTACAACTGCCTTGAATTAAAAATTATAAAAAGGTGATATGGACAAAAGGGCTCGAAAAAAAGTGCTGTTACATTTATAATTTGTTAACCATCCATATCCTAAAATATTCATTTACAAGATTTTATCAAAGATTTATGCCCAAACTGGATATCCACATGCAGAAAAACAAAACTGGACCCTTATTTCACACCATTTATAGTACAAAAATAAACTCAAAATGGATTAGAGACTTAAACATGAGATTAGAAACTGTAGAACTACTGGGAAAAAAACAGGCAAAAAAACTCCATGACACCGGTCTGAGCAAGGATTTTTTGAATTTGACTCCAAAAGTGCAAGGAACAAAGACAAAAACAGAAAAATGGGATTATATCAAATTAAAAAGCTTCTGCACAGCAAAGGAGACAACAGTGTGCTGAGACATCCTATGAATTAGGCTAAAATCTTTTCAAGCCATATATCTAATAAGTTAATATTCAAAATTTAGTCGGTCTTCCAACATCCACAGAGAAATTGGTTCCAAGAACCCTAAACACATCAAAATCTGTAGCTGCTCAACTCCTTTATATAAAACAGCAAAACATATTTAGCATTTTACCTATGTAGCAAATAACCTATGTGGCAAATCCTCACGTGTACCCCACAACTCTAACATACATACATACATACGTACACACATATAAAACAAATAAAATGGCAAAGTATTTGCATATAACCTATACATATCCTCCCATATATTTTAAATCATCTCTAGATTACTTATGATACCTATTACAATGTAAATCACTGTTGTACTGTGTTGTTTTTAAAAATTTCTATTATTGTTATACTGCTATTTTTTATTTTTACTTTTTAATATTGTCAATTCATGTTTGGTTGAATTCATAGACCTTAAGCCCACACATAAGAAAGGCCAGATATGGCCAGGCACGGTAGCTCAAGCACGGCACTTTGGAAGGCTGAGGCAAGAGGGTTGCCTGAGCTCAGGGGTTCAAGACCAGCCTGGATAACTTGGTGAGACCTTGTCTCTATAATAAATAAAAAAATTAGCCAGACATGGTGGTGTATGCCTGTAGTTCCAGCTACTTTGATGGCTGAGGCAGAAGGATCACCTGAGCCCAGCAGTTCAAGGCTGCAGTGGCCGTGAGTGTGCCACTGTACTCCAGCCTGAGCACCAGAGTGATATTCCTTCTCAATGAAAAAAAGAAAATGTAGTGAGTACACACAATGGAATACTATTTAGCCTTTAAAAAGAAGAAAATCTGTCATTTATAACAACATGGATGGAACTGGAGACCATTATGTTAAGTGAAATAAGCCAGGCACAGAAAGACAAATACTACATGTTTTCACTTATATAAGGAGTCTAAAACAATCAAACTTATAGAAACAGAGAGCGGAATGGTAGTTATGGATGCTGAAGGGGAGGAAATGGGGAGATGATCGTCAAATGGTACAAAATCTCAGACAGGAGGAATATGTTTGTTTCTTGAGTTCTATTGCATAGCATGGTAAGTACAGTTAATAATAGAATATTATACATTTAAAAATTGCTAAGAGTAAACTTCAAAAGTTCTCACCACAAAAAATATTAAATATTTGGTGTGACTGATATGTCAACTAGCTTGATTTAATTATCCTACTTTGTATTCATAAATCATAATGCCTTGTATCTCATAAATATAAACTATCAATTTCTAACTTTTAAAATAGAGTATTAAGAGCTAAAAAAAAAAAGAGAGACAGAAGTATTTATTTCCAACTATCACCTTAACTTTTTTTTTTTTTGCATTGGGTTCTCACTCTGTTGCACAGGCTGGAATGCAGTGGCACGATCACAGCTCACCACAGCCTCTACCTGGATTAGGTGATCCTCCCATTTCAGTTTCCCAAGTAGTTGGAACTACAGGCATGTGCCAACACACTCAGTTAATTTTATTTATTTATTTTTGTGTAGACGAGGGCTCATTATGCTGCCTAGGCTGATCTTGAACTCCTGGGCTCAAGCAATCCTTCTGCCTTGGCTTCCCAATGTGCTGGGATTATACACATGAGCCATTGTGCCTGACTCTTCCAAAACATTTTTGGATGCCAGTAGTTCTCTACCAAGGGTGATTTTCCCTTTCAGCATACCTCACCCCCGGGAAATATGACAATGTCTAGATAAAATTTTGACTTTCATGACTTGGCAGGGGAGGCATCCATTGGCATCTACTTAGCAGAGGTGCAGATGCTGTTAAATATGCACAGGACAGCTCTCCTACAACAAAGAATTATCCCAACCAAAATGTCAGTAATGCCAAAGCTGAGAAACCCTGAGTAAGACGAAGCAAACACTGGGATATTAACTAATATTCTCTAATATAACTCAAAATTGAAGTATTCGCTCAATCAGTTTTAAACACATACAAGATAAAACTTTAAACAGCCAAGCTTTCTTGCTAACCACCTAGGAGGGATATTTGAGTTTATTGTGTCTCAACTCCTTCTCAGGTACTGGTGGTTTCCAAATAACTAATCAACACTGATGGGGCTTTGTCTCTCCCGGCTCTGGGCACTCAGCTGGGAGGGGCCTGGGCAGGGGGCAGGTGGACATGGGAGAAGTACCATGCAGCAGGGCTGGAGCATCCTACCGTGTCCCCCCTGGGGGCGAGGGAGGCTGAGCAGCTGCCAAGTGGAGATCATGGGGACTGTTCGGGAGCCTAGGGGAAAGTCCATGGATGTTCCCTGCTGCAAGTTGTCTGGGTGCCCAATTCTGCACCAAAAGTAAAAGTTCTTGAAGTCCGAAATAAAAAATGGCCTCCAATAAAACTACATTGCAAAAGATGGGAAGGAAACAAAATGGAAAGAGTAAAAAGGGTGAAGAGGCAGAGCCTGAAGAACTTGTGGTGGAAAAAGTATTGGATGGACGTGTTGTGAATGGGAAAGCGGAATGTTTCCTGAAGTGGAAGGGATTTACAGAAGCTGACAATACCTGGGAGCCTAAAGAAAATTTAGATTGTCCAGAGTTAATTGAAGCATTTCTTAATTCTCAAGAAGCTGGTAAAGAAAAAGATGGAGCAAAAAAGAAAATCTTCATCTGAGTGAATCTGATGACAGCAAATCAAAGAAGAAAAGAACAAGCCGGGCTCGGTGCCTCAGCCTGTAATCCTGCGCCTTTGGGAGGCTGAGGTGAGTGGATTGCCTGAGCCCGTGGGTTCGAGACCCGCCTGGGCAGGCGAGACCTCATCTCTACAATAAATCAAAAACTAGCCGGGCGTGGTACTATGCGCCTGTAGTTCCAGCTACTTGGAAGGCTGAGGTGGAAGGATCGCCAGAGCCCAGCAGGTCGAGGCTGCGGTGGCCAGGAGCGGCCACTGCACTCCAGTCTGGGCGACAGAGTGAGACTCCAACTCAAAAAAAAAAAAAAAAACATACAAAGAAGAAAAGAGATGCTGCTGACAAACCAAGGGGTTTTGCCAGAGGTCTTGATCCTAGAAGAATAATTGGTGGCACAGACAGCAGTGGAGTACTGATGTTTCTCATGAAATGAAAAGATTTCAGATGAGGCAGATGTGGTGCTGGCAAAAGAGGCAAATATGAAATGTCCTCAAACTGTAATTGTTTTTTATGAGGAGAGACTAACTTGGCATTCTTGTCCAGAAGATGAAGCTCAATAATTGTTTGCATTGAGATATATATATAACACCTTGGTTTTCGATTTCCTAGTATGATGAAATAATTACATTTTAATGAAAATCAAGTTTGATAAGTTTGTTTTGAAAGCAGTATTGGGAGAGTTGTTGGGGGAAGGGGGTTTGCATCAGCAGCACTGGTTACTTTGAACAAATAAATAAAAGCTTTCTGTAGTTGTTTTCTTGATCAGAAAACAACATTTGATACCATGGTATATTATTTCCTCTGCACTGGAGAATAGTTTTTCTAAAGGTTGAGAGAAATTTCCATAGTCATTACTCAATCAGAACTTGTGTTCTCATATACCTAAGGGCCATTCTGGATTTGTTTTGTGTGTATACATAAAATACATATGCAGATGGTTTTCTTTTTTGTTGTTTTTAAACATTAACCAAAATAAAAATCTTGGGTAAGCCCATGTTTCTGAAATGCTGTTTTTCTGGGCAACCTAAGTAATAAATCACTTAAAGTTAAATTGAAAAATGTTTTAAAGCCAAACACTGCAAATTAAATAGCTGATTCTAGGATTAATTGAACAGTTTAAACTGGATGATTTAAAATCAGCCAAATTATAATTCATATGTGAAAGACAGTGGTTTGTTTGCAAAATAACTAAAAGGAAAAATTTTATCACTACTAACAATTTCACCCTTCAGATGAGGAAACTAGACAAATCTGGTGTTTTAATTAGCTAAACAAGACTTAGTTAAATGGACATTTAACAATTCCCTTACAAAAAGTTGAAATGTGTGTCCTATAT